TATGTGTCTATAACAGTCCATGCTATAGATGTTCTGTAGGTTTGTAAGCAGTGAGAAGGAGAGTGTTGGTGTCAGTTCCAGGTACACTTTCCTGACCTTCACTCTGACCTTCCTGTGGGAAGAGGGCCGAGGCAAAAAGTCAAATGCCCTACAGGGATCACAAAAGCATCAAAAAAGCATCACTTTAATGTTCATATCTCCTTTCCCACATCTATATCCTTCACCCGCTCTGATCTTCTCAACTTGGAAAAAAACATCTTCAGCTTCTTAGATCTCACCATTACTCGTACTTATCCCTGGCATTTCGCTCTCTCTGTGATCACTGTGGGCAGAGTAATTGTCATGCCACTGTGGCTATGGCTTTGAATTATTTTTATTTTAAATATTTTTTTCCCGTTCTTATCATCAGTCACCTCTTATGTCGCTGATCTAGGAACTGAAGTTTATTCGGCTGCACTCTCTTGTACTCACCAAGTTAATTGCTGAGATCTGGAAATGCTGCAGCATCACCATGAATTAGTCCAGAAATGCATACGTGCATACTATGTGATAACCCCATGGAAGCGCCAGCAATGCGCTGGTAGACCCGAACATTTTGCTAGGACAGCTAACATACCATGGAGGGAGATAAAAACCAGGGGATAGCAGTTTGGAAGTATTTCACGCTGATGTTGCCTTACACATAAAATAATTATACAACGTATTACTGGTATCAGATCGGATACTCTGCATTGGCCGATACCCAAAGCCCAGGTATTGGTATCAGTATCAAGATGAAAATGTCAGATCGGTGCATCCCTATACGAGTAGTCGGTTAATCAATAAGTCGATGGAAAGAAAATAAATTGATTGATTGAACTATTTTGATAATTGATTCACTGTTTCAGTCTGTTTTTATCTGGTTTAATCTTCCTAAATGTAAGGAATTGCTGCTATTCTTTGTCATTTATCATAGTAAATGAAGAATCTTTGGGTTTTGGACTGTTGGTTGGACAAAAGAAGAAATCTGAAGACGTCACTTTGGGCTCTGGAAAATTGTGATGAGCATTTTTTACCATTTCTTTACATTTTATAGACTAAACGATTAGTCTATTAATCGTGAAGATAGACTGCAAATTAGTTGATAATGAAAATAATAGTTAGCTGCAGCCCTGTTGCAGACATGTTTCAACTTTGACCTGCTATATATCAGATTATCATCAAATAGATAATTAAGCTAAACAATGAATTATCTTTTTTAGTTAAGTAAAAAGAACAAAAAATGCATTTTGAACAAATCATTGAGGTGTACCCTGGGCAAATATTTCTAACTCTACAACAGTACCAGGATTTAGCAAGAAATGTAATGCAAATTTTGATGAGATGAAGCTGCCAATTATTTAGACCGTTATTTTGACTCTATTGTTTACTGTATCCAAAAGAGTAACATGGATATATTCATGTTTACAAACACCATGTAGTACTTTTTTTTTTTTTTTTTTTTTTAAAGTGTGCTCTGTAGCTTTTCATCAATCTGAGGCAGGAGGACACAAGAAGACAGAGACCCAACCAAATTTTTCTCCTGTTTTTATATATATATATATATATATATATATATATATATATATACACACTAAATGTACAGTATGGGCCCGATAAGCTAACAACCCTGAATAAAGAGTACTGAACTGCGTGTCCATTCTAAAATATTCCACGTGGAATTTTAGTACCTGTTATGGGTGATTTACTAAGAATTATTGCGTAGATGACAACAGAAGCAAACATAATGGAGGTGGCGATATTTAAATGAGGGTTTTGCGGTTTTAATGGTTTGTACCATGGATAGTCGGGAGGGAAAGCAGCCACTGCGTAAAAACCTTGGTTTGTTTCGTTTAGTGCGTCCGAGTATGTGGAAATCGTATGTACCTGCCTAAGATTGCTACTACTTTGTACTTTGGGACAGCACACCTGAAAAACCGCTTTGGGAAACCCGATCAGAAACAGCTACCGTGTGCTGGAATGACCCGGACGCAAGGAAATGCCAACAGATCGTGTTTCATCCAGCCAGAGGGAACAATCACCGACCGTCTACACTAGTGTTTCTCAACGGGGGCGTTCCGAGGACGTTGGGGGGCGCTGGAAGCAATATTTGGAAGGTGGGGACGCTGAGCTGCTTTTGGGGGGCGTTTGTTGGTTGGAAATTCTAAGGCGAGTTTACACTTAAGATTCACAACAATAGAAGTTTAAACTTTAAACTACTTGCAAAAACTGGTCTGCAACATTAAAACCTGCCAGTTTATTCCACTGCAACTGGACAAGACTGTGTATTTTTCTCCATCAGCTACTTTTGGTGCAGCTTCGTGCTGCCTTCACCGGAACGGGAAGTCAGAGTATCATCTATAAATTTTTACCCACAATGCGTTTACTGTGTAAACTCTGTAAAATCAACGTTCTCTTTCTTGGTGGAAAGGTGTTTATTTCTCTGAGGAATACACCGTGAACATCTTGTTATCGCAGTGGTTACACATTTATAAAAGGGATATTCTGCTGTCGGACTCACCCTGAAAGCAACTTCGCTGCGACACCAGCGAGTGACGTGGACCCACCTCGGTGTGAGTCGCAGACAGTTTGTGCCAAAGTGGACATATACTGTAGTTTAGGCTATAAAAATGTAACGTTAAACTGAAGCTCTGTTGGGGATTGTAAGCGGCACTTTATCAGAGGTGCTGAAGTTAACGTCTGTGGAATTATTCGTGAGCTTTCTGTCTGATCACAGGTGTTGTTGGTTAGTTTTTTTTCCCCAGCATGAGCACTTCCTAGTCTCATCCAGTTTTGTCTGTTAGACGGCGAGGGGATACTTCCAGCGAATCAGTAACATAATGCAGTATAGGGCATGTTGTAATATATTAGGAATTCTCTTTAAATAGGCTAATGATGTAGTCTCCCATTATGACTTTTTTGTGTCAGAGAACTCCGATATGTGGGAGAGATTCTGAATGTGCAGAAAGTTTTGAACATAAGCAGATAAGTTACAGTTTTTCCCAAACGTACATTTATTTGTGGCGGCCTGCCACAATATCAACGCTGACCGCCACATATTGATATTGATTTTTTTACGCCTATTTAAAATCGTATTTGAGCTGCAGGCAGCGCGTATTCAGGCAGCACTTCCTCTCGCTCGTCTCTTCATCCGTCTCTCGATCTCTCTCCTTCGTTAACACAGCTGCACAAATCTGTCCAACACAACGCTGTCGATGTCGGAGACCCAGCTATTAAAAGTTATTAGCAAGCATGTAAGGAGCCTAGCTAATAAGGAGCGCTAAGTTAATGTTAGAATACAGCTGGGTTTTCGAGGCTAGCATGCTGTATATAGCTGCGCCACAGTTACACTGTCATTCTGAGGGAAACAGAGTTAGATAATTAACAGATGAGCTAATAAAGTCAGTCAAAACTGAATTAAAACGAATTAATTCATTACGGAGATTAAAAGGGGCCACAAACACATTATATTATCATAAAAGAAGTGGTAAGACTTAATCATGTGTGTTGACTCAGCAGGGATGATATTAATAAGTTGATCTACAGGAGAAAAACATTTAAAAGCAATAAGAATGCCTGAGAGCCTCACTAGATTATATTCTATTATAATATATTTTGAATTGTCACCTGCCAACTGAATTTTTAGACATTTTTTAAGACAGAAAAGGCAGAAATTGGAGGAGAAATTTTCACCAGAATGCAGGAAATGAAGTGTTTTATCAATCTTCTGGGGGAGGACCCCATATACCCGCTTATTAAGTGCCCCATCCAAGAAAACAGTATCTGGCTTCACACAGTTTCTTCACACAGTTGTTACCTTTTCCATGTTTTTAATACAATAGTAACAATAAAAAAAAATCAACAATATTCAGGGCAAGTAGCAAACCTGTTTTTTGATGGGGGCGGTAAGGGACCTGGATAATGGATAGGAGGCGCTGGCCCAAAAAAGGTTGAGAACCACTGGTCTACACCGTGCCCAGTCACTTTGCAATCTCCTGTCCCTGTCCACCAATGCCCATTCCCTCTCCGTACTACAATGGGTTGTATCGCTATTAAACCGGCGCTGGGGACTCTCTGCAGCGGCACGCATCTTTCTAAATTCTTCCATCTCACGTAGAAAAGAAGTCAGGTCGAAACGAAATTTGCTTTATGCATGAATGTTATACAACAGTACTGCCAAAGCTAAAGGAAAATACAAAAAACCCCAATTCAATTCATATAGTTAATTGACTTCTCTCGGCCTCCGTCTGTCCCTGTGTCCATAATCCTACCTTGTTGTGTCCATGAAGTTTTATTATCTCCCTCAT